GATGGCAATTCTCTATCTTATGCTTTTGTAGACTCAGCCTCTGATACATATTGGAATCACCCGAGAAGCTTTACAAAACATTGCTTCCTGGGTTCCCTGCCAGAAAATCATTTAATTGGTCTGGAATAAAGCCTTGACTTTGGGACTTCTGAAGACTCCCCAGGTGAGTCTGATGTGCAGCCAAGCCTGAGAACTAGTACTTAGTCTTTAGCTATGACCAACTGTGGAATACGTTAGTACATGGGCAGCCTTGGGAGAGTATTGGGAAGTAGAGAGAGGCATTTTTAGTAGACTTTACTATTCCTCATGTATTTATGGACCAGTTATTACTGCACATAGATTTGTATATTAACCTGGTAGGTCAGATTAAGTACTTTTCCTCCATTTCTACAGTGTTTTCCCCCGACACTGTAGGCTTTAGAGATTTTATTAAGATTAACATGTCTCTAAATAAGACTTTTTCTCTGTGTACCAACCCAAATATTTTTTCATTAAACAGGTTAGCTCTAACAGACATGTTGACTATTTTAAGATACCTAAATGTAGTATATTTCCAGCTTTGGTTTTATTGTTTCTCCTGTCTTTTTTACAAGTTTTCCATAAAACCTGCTTTTTTTTTGGTCTTTTTGAGACAGGGTCTCACTGTGCAGTTCAGGTAGATCTTGAATTCACTTTGCGGCCCAGGCTGACCTTGAACTTGCAACAGTCTTACCTCAGCTTCCCGAGTGCTGCCATTATAGGTGTGCGCTACCATGCACGGTATAAAACATGCTTATTGTTGAATAATAACATTATGAGCAGAAGCTTGTGTTCTGTACTGATGAGAAAGCCACGCATGGCTGTGCTATTCCTGTTAATTTCAGGAGGAATGTAGAACTTTGACACAGTAAGATCATGTGAAAAATGACAGTAAGCAGCGAACGGCAAAGCTCATTCTTGCTGTTCATTGCTGTTCAGGCTGCTGACTTGCTTGATATTCTTTATGATAGATTTAAGGTTTCTTTTTTTAACTGAGGTGTATGTTGATTTTCAGATATCTAGTTACAGGTCCTTGCTTTTAAAGGTCTGTTGTATTATTAGTGAGGACAAGTTGGTATTTTCTGGTTTTAAAAGGGAAACATAGATTGATTTTCTCAGGAAAATCAGTTGCTTAAAGTGCAGGCTCCACTGTAAAATAGATTACTGTCTCTTCACTTAGGAAGATGAAAGCTTAGTACAAAATATTATTTGAAGAGGTGATACCTATATGTGGCTTAAACCTGTAATCCCAGCTACTTGGGGAGCTGAGGAGGTTGACAAGTTCAAGGCCATCCTGGGCAATGCAGCAAGAACTTGTCTGAAAACAAGGAGATAAAAAGAGCTGGGGATAGCATTCATTACTGCCTTGATTCAAACCCCAGTATGGGGAATAAAATCAGTACCAGGCAACACAAAATGGTGTACAGTAAAGAAAAATAAGTCTTCTTAGTTTCATCTGTGCTATATTATGTTGATGCCATGTTCCTTTGATTTGATATGATAAAAATGGTACTTTTAACATTTTTTTCCAAAAATTCATTACAGCAGTCTATGAAAAAAGCATCATATAACTTCTGCTAGTGAGACACTCTATAAAATACTTGACCCTTATCCCTCAAAACTTTCAAAGTTGTCAAAAATAAGGACAGTCTGAGAAAGTATCACAGTCAAGAGGAGTCTAAGGAAACATGGCATCTGAATGTAAAGTGTGTTCTGGATTGGGTCCTAGGACAGCAAAAGGAAATCTGAACAAATTGTAGACCTTTAGTTAGTAATGATATATTAATTCTAGTACATTAATTATAGCAAAAGTACTATACTAATATGTCTGTGAAGTGTATAGGACTTTCTCTGCCATACCTTCTGAATTTTTATGTAAATCTAAAACTGTTTTAAAAAATAGTTTAAAGAAGTTTCCCTTTTTTAACACCAATACCCTGGTCCAAAGAGAATAACAGTGTCATTTTCTTTGGATTCCTTTTAGAGAGACTTTATGCCAATATAAGCATAATGAATATATATTTTCAGTCCTCTTTTTCTCCCCAAAGAAAATGTAAATGTTCATATACTATAAGAAATACCTTTTTTCACTTAAAATATTTGCATATTGTTCCATATAAACACATGTATTCATTAATACTGTATATGTAGATTTCGTGGTGTAGAGCAGTAGTGGTGAACCTGTGGCATGTGTGTTACTTTGTTTTTCTTGTAAGACAAAATATGTTAGTATTCAGATTTAATTGCAGTGTTGATACTTTGCAATGAATAAGTGGGCTTTGGGTTCCATTTGGCACTTGGTCTCTAAAAGGTTTGGTATCACTGGTGTAGGTGAACCACAGCTTAACTAGCTCTTGCTAAATAGCTGGGTTGTTTCCATTCTTTGACTTCATTATATTAGCTTATAACTATGATATCTTGAACAGAGTAAGGGTTAGAGAGTAGCCATTGAGGAAGCAGGGATGGGACTGTTTTTTTCCATTATTCAATTTGCATTTTAAAATTATGTATTATTTTTTAATACTCCACTCATTTCCAGACAAGAATTTGGGGCAGGTAGTCTCCTGTGTAGTTATCTTAAATCTGTGGTATTGGATGATCTTTGAGGTGCCTAAGAGCAGGTGATGCAGGGGTGTATTAGATACAGACTAAATCTAGTTCACTGTGGAGTGGGGAGGCAGACTGCAGATATGATGATGCAGTTTAATGTGTTAACACTGCAGCACAGCCTGTTGCAAAATCAGAGGAGGGAGTAGCAACTATGCTTTTCTTCATATTTGAATTTAAATAAGTTCAGAAAAGGGAGTTGGAAGTTTCTATTGAGTGGTCTGTGTGATCAAGAGAAGAGAATGTCCTTGTTATGGTTTGTGTCTGGATGTCCCTGTAAAGCCTCATGCAGTCATGGGGCGGGCTTCTAGAGTTTATGTTTGATTCATGGTCCAGTGTTGGGGTTATGAGTGTGAGTGCTACACCTGCCCTGGGGTAGGTAGTTCGCAGACAGTGTAAGGGAGGGAAAGAGGCTGCTTGCTACTCCCTCCTGGCCCCACTGCCCTTTTTGTTCTTGCTGCTTTTGCTATCTTCAGCTACCATGAACTGTTGCCCTCTGCCATGTGCCACTCTGCCTTGGAGCCAGCCAAGTATGGACTGAAACTTCACAAACTGTGAGCTAAATAAATCTTTCCTTCTTTAATTCTGGGCATCAGGTATTTTGTCTCAGCAGCTAGAGAAAAGTAACCAAGACAGTCCTCAATTTGTTCTTGTTCATAGTGTCTAGAGTCAGAGACTGTAGGCTCATGGAGCAAAGCAGCTTGTACTCTTAAATCTGCCTCTTGAAAGACAACTTGTAAATTGGTTGGGTGTACTCAAGAGCATGATTTCCTTATGCTTTAATCTATATATATGGGAAAGGCATCATACACTGAATATAATCTTGCCAATGCTTGCAGTTGTGAAACTCTACTGTTCATTGTCTGCTGAAAGATGGATATGTCTAAAGATGGAGAAAGAAGGGAACAAGGGGGGGATGAAGTGTCCTGCTTTTGTTTCATTTCCTTTCATGACAGACATGGCTTTTCTGTCATGCCCTCTCCTGTCCTGTCCTTTGGTTCTAGGGATTGAAGTCAGGGCTGGTATACTGAATTACATCCCTAGCCCTTTTTATTTATTAAAGTTTGAAACATGATCTTGCTGAGTTGCCTAGGCTGGGCTTGCACTTGTCATCCTTCCTCCTCAGCCTCCCAGAATACTGAGATTGGAGGTGTGTGCTATCATACCCAGTTTGGCCTTGCTTTTTCTTACCTAGCCTTAAGGGCTGCCTTTCTTTTATTTAATTATATTTATTTTAATTGCAGAATGACTGTATTATTGTGCATTCCCATAAGATATTCAAAGACTGTGTCCCTTGACTTCAGTCCCACTCAAGTTTAAAAAAGGAACCATTAAAAGTGTGTGTGTATATAAATGTGTATGTATGTATTAACATAGATATTGTCATAAAATGTACTGTTCTGTTTGGTTTGTTAATTTAACAGTGTGTTTTAAAGGGCATTTCACGTCATAACCAGAATTAATGTAAGCTTTCTGTTGGAGTTGTCTGTCCAGGTTGTTACTATTTTTTGTTATAAACAATGCTGCAGTGAAACCCTTTTGTACATTCCTTGTATGTTGTAAGAGTTTATCTCGGTTACCCTGAAATGGATTTGCTGCTTTTGGGATTTAAGGAATCTTATTTTTTTCCAGATACTATTGACATGTTGCATGAAAGAAAACAAGTTATAAATTTAAATGGAGGGCATAATATCATTTATACTGGGGGAAAAGTTCAAGTATGTCATAAGTGTATATTCTATTAATCAGACTGATAATAGTTGAAAACTTTGAAAAGAACTCTAGACTTGAGTATGGTGATCCAAGGGACTTAGATCTCTTTAGTGAGGTATTTTTATGACAGTGTATTAAGGTATTATGTAAGTTGTTGTAGATAACAATAAAAATACACTGAGTTCTGAACAATGTTTATTTTTATGGTATGAGCACAGAATAGTGCTTATCTTTAACTGCGTGTCCATCATTTAAAAAACTAAATGATGGGGAGTAGGCTTTGAGGTCCCAGAGAGAGAGAATGATCTCATATTTTCAGTGTTTAGTTGATGCACAAAAAAACCAACATGGAATATTTCAAAAAGTAGAATTAGGTTAGGGTAGATGAAAGTCATATTCTTTGGCCACAGTTGTCAAGAATATTTAACCATCTGAGGTTTTCTAGATATAATAAGAAGCTATACCTTACTGTAGTTTTTTGCTTATTTGGATAACATTGTAATGCAAGATACTTAAAAAATTTACTATTGGCTGTAAAATCCTTAATACAAAATACAGTATTTAAATATTGATAGTCCTATGTAAACATAATAAACAGTCGCTGAAAGGCTGTTACTCCAAAGAATGGTGGGTTTTTGATGTATAACTTTGTTTTCTTAAAGAGATGTGAAAGCTGGAAATATTCTTCTTGGAGAAGATGGCTCAGTACAGATTGCAGGTAATGATGAGTTTTTTTTTAATTTAGTAGAACCACATTATTTAGCTTTTATGTTTAATCAGTGTTCTCTCCTGTGTTGATACTGCTCTCTCCAAATAGCTTCCTGCTCACTCCTCACTTCTGACCTACTGTTGGTAGACACTTTCCTACATTGCTCATTACTGTCCAGTTGTTCACTCCTCACCCTCATTAAGCTCTTCTGCTGTGGTAGTGTTCTGCACTTTCCTTTAAAGAAGTAAACGAGAATCCTCACCATGCTTAAGAATAAATATACTGTAGAGAAGTAATAGAGAGCTACTTTTGTCCTGAGAAAAGAGAAGTTTTCATCAGTTAGAAAGAAGTGTCTGAAAAGTGGATGTGCACTTGAGGCTATTCAGAGCTAAGGGGTAGAGTTAGAGGCCAAGGCCTGCCCCAAGTGGTTACCCTGATGGAACAATCCTCCTGCAGCTGGTCCCTGACTGCTGGAATGATGAAGTGTCCCGCAGGAGGAAGATAATCACCCAAACCTTAAATTATTTCAATGTCTGGAGGATAATTTAGGCCAACATGTTGTCTTTGAAGTAAGGAAACATTTTAACCAAGCCACATAAAGCTCCATAATGAATTTGATTCCTTCAAAATTAGCTACTTCTATTCATCAAAAGAGAAATTAAGCAGCTTATCCCTGTGGCAAAATGGCAAGCCACAGAATAGCTATTTGCAGCATGAATAATTGCCAGAGGGTTTCAATGTAGAATGTATGAAGAACTTGTTAAGGGAAAAAGACATATAATAAACTGGACAGAAGACTGGCACAGACACTTTGCAAATGAAGACATTGTGTGAACACAAACATAAAAATGTATTAAATGCAAAGTCAAATCACATTAGTTCAGGCTGCCCTCAATCATATGGCAGTCTTCCTGCTTCAGCCTCCTGAGTGCTGGAATTAGAGGCATGTGCCACCATGCCCGGCTCAGGAACAGTGTTGCTGTCTCTCTTGCCCTCACCTGTGTCCAGTCTTTTTGCCAACACTGTCTCCTTAGTTACTTTTTACAATTTAAAATTTTTTTATTGTGATAAAAT